TTTTTCGTTGTGAAAGCGAAACTACTTTGTTTGGTCTTCCAAAAGAGGACGATATCTGCTTCGTCATGCCTGGAGCTGATCCGTGCTGGTCGCTGAGGGAATACATCAACTTCACGCTGTGGATCGCCGGATCGGCTTTCACCGTGGACAAAGCGGAGTCCAGCCCGGGGTCGTCACATGTGGTTGCCGCAAGCCCTCCGGACGCTCCTTCGTCGAATCCGCCGGCCGCACCGTTATCAAGCCCACTGGCCGTCGCACACTCAGCACGCCGGCCGTTCCTCACTCTAGCCCCCGGCCTCCGCTCACTCTAGCCCGTCGTGTGTGATGCTGTGTTTCGTTGTGAAAGCGAAACTACTTCGTTTGGTCTTCCAAAAGAGGACGATATCCGCTTCGTCATGCCTAGAGCTGATCTGTGCTGGTCGCTGAGGGAATACATCAACTTAGTGCTGTGGATCACCGGATCGGCCCACTCAGAAGTTTTTTTTTTTTTTTTTTAGTTTTAGTTTTAGACTTTATAATTTGGACTTTTATTTAACATATCATAAGTGCATGTAATTTTTTTTTTAAGAAATGTCCATGAAATGTCTTTGATCTTTGATGTTTATTTAAACACAGATAAATATTTTATTACTTAATACTGCCTTATCATCACCAGACTTGACTGGGTTCTCGGTTTTGTTTCTTTTAAGTATCGACTTTGTCTCTGATGTTTCTCATATAATTTCGTAGAACAAATCAAAATAAATGCAATAGTTGACATACAGTAAGTGTATAGAGCCATAACATAAATGTGGAGAGCAGTTCAGATCATTTGATTTTGGAAGAATTTGATGAGAAATGTTCCTATTGAGATCTGATAGTTGATTGCAAACTCTGGTATTTTGGCAAAAGTGAACATGGTTTGAAACTCTAAAGGATATCACTTGGGTAGTTTTTCCTGAGAACCAGGAGACTTCAGCAAAAAAATTACTCTCAATTTACATTTCCTCTCAATTGAATCTAATTTCTGTCAAGGAGAAACAATTGAGCTATTAGGGGGATCACATTTTCTTTTCTACAGGATCACTGAGCTTGAAAGTTGGCTGAGGGAAAAAGAGAGATTTGATTAGAAATATCTTAAGGAACACACTCTTGAAGTGATTCACAAGACACCAAATTAACACAAAGACAAAACAATTTTACTCTAAGATAATGTTCTTTTTCAAGGCTAATATTAAAACAAATGCAAGTATGGCCCGTCTGGCCAAGAATTATATAATTTCTAATCATGTGTTTGATGGATTCATGCAGGTCAATAAAGTTCCATCATTAATAATTCAAGCTGAGAGACTGTGGAACAGTGTTTGGAGATCCATTAGACCGTCCTGTTTAATATTCACACACCGAGCCGCTGGCGTTTGTCTGATAGCCAAGGTCGCAGGAGTGCTAATCAACACACTGGGCTGACATTTCACAAACATTAAGCACAAATGATGAAAACTCGACACAAAACACAGCTCAATCTCATCCGCTCGTCTCATCCCAAATGAAAATATCATTCTAAAAAATGGAAGACACACAACAAAGTTTTAACTGGAACTAAGATCAGGTAATTTGAGTAGGTTTTTTATGCAGACCATCAGAAGATGAGTTAAACTCTCTGTCATGTCCAACACAATCTTATTAGCATTTGGCAAAGTTCACAGATAGCTGACATAGATCTCATTTCTATGCTTGTCAGCTCAGAACGGGGGCAGATTTAAATCAATGTAATTGTCTACAGAATGATGCATTTGCGATCACGGGTTACATGCACAGTATCTGTAGAGACTTCACTCCGATTATGCCAGTGGAATAAGAAAACACTGGAAGTATTTGCTTCTGCTTTGTTATTCTGGAAAAATTTGATCTCTATTTTTTCCCGATCAATTACATATGAAACATGTGACATTAGTATGCATACTGTGTATGCATATACAATAACTGCTCAGTGAAGCAAATACTACTTAGATGTATAAATGTACACTTTTACAGTAAAATGTTTCCTTTGCAAATTTACATTTAAATCATGTTATTTTTATATTACAGTAACAAGTACTTAAACCTTTGTGCTGTGCTGAAAATCTTTACCTAATTTGGTGTTCCCAGTCAAAAATGACCAGATTTAAAAAATTGCTTGTAAATCTCTCATTATGCTATATTATCACCAAATCTTAGATTCAATATTTTTATCAACTTGTTTTCTTTCCATTCACACTGGTTTTGTATTTCTTTTTGGAAATGATTGATTGTAGGCCTCGTTGATCTGAACTTACGCACCTCAGTTTTTTTTGAATGAAAAAAGCATAATTTGTGGATAAACTTGGCAACATGCACAATATTTTTTTTTAAACGTTGTTATACCCTTTATTACACAAGGTTTAATGTATTTAATGTACTTAATCACAATTGAAAAAAATTCTTAATGGTGCTAAAATAGGCTTTATTTTGTTTATGCAAAATAAAAAATTTACATTTTGGAGAGAAATATACAACATTTCAAATTGCTGAAGATGTTGCTACAGATTTTCCAATGCACCAAAGCCTGCAATCAAAATTCAGAGCTCTCAATATAAACTCAAACATTTCTCATCAAACAACATGCTTCGATCCATATTCATTTTATATCTTTATACACTCACTGTATAAAAACAATTGACTCATTTGTGTCTACTTTTATTTCAACAAAGGAATTATAAGAGAAACATCTGTGACAAAGTTGATGCCAAAGTCCTAGCAGACGGATGAAACAAACCGACAGCAAACCAGACAAATGTTCCAACTGTTCAAACTTGCTTCAATGTCTCTTCAATGTAACTTCCCTCATAATGAAGACAAGATTATATCGAGCACAGCTGTTCTCAGACAGGAGCTGTTTCACTGACAAAATCCCATATCTTTATCGTTGCCTGAATTAAAACAATGAATTATGAAATACATCCTCTTTCAAGGTCCTAATGCATAATGAAAAGTTCTACAATATTCATAAAGACATGTAATTCAAAAATGCACTTTGTCAGTCGTCCTTTTCTATATCAGGTGCTGCAAAATGACTCGAAATCTGATTAACTGCCAAATCTGTTGGTCACAGAGACTAAAAGTATCCTGATAAAACTTAATTAGTACCTTTCAAAGAAATGTCTTTTTGTTTATAAAATCTTATAGGACCAGACAGTGATCATTCATTTTAAATGTATCATGCAAAATTGAAACTAAGAGTGGTCATTTAGCAGAAAGCTTTTATCCAAAGTACTTTACTAAAAACAATCTAAATCTAGCGACAGATCAGAATAATAGTGATCATGTGCTCACTAACAATGATGTGTTTCCATATAGTTATCAAAAGACAAACAGCAAGAAGTGGTTGAAATCAAAAGTGCCGATTAATTTCAGAATGCACTGTCAGTCGTCCTTTTCTATATCAGGTGCTGCAAAATGACTCGAAATCTGATTAACTGCCAAATCTGTTGGTCACAGAGACTAAAAGTATCCTGATAAAACTTAATTAGTACATTTCAAAGAAATGTCTTTTTGTTTATAAAATCTTATAGGACCAGACAGTGATCATTCATTTTAAATATATCATGCAAAATTGAAACTAAGAGTGGTCATTTAGCAGAAAGCTTTTATCCAAAGTACTTTACTAAAAACAATCTAAATCTAGCGACAGATCAGAATAATAGTGATCATGTGCTCACTAACAATGATGTGTTTCCATATAGTTATCAAAAGACAAACAGCAAGAAGTGGTTGAAATCAAAAGTGCCGATTAATTTCAGAATGCACTGCACAGGTTATTATCTGTCCATCAGTAAGCAAAATCGTGTGTACAAGCTTCTGAGGAAGAACCAGCTGCATTTGCCAAAATTTGCTGGGTTCACGGCATCAAACATTTGGAAGATATCCAGGAGTTTTATTGGAGACACTTGGTATCAAGTAAACAAGATATTCATGAGCAGAACTGAATATTAGAGATAACAGGGCTGACCAGTGTGTGAAATGCTGAGCTGAGTTCATGAAAATACATGGACCCCACCGATGCCAAATACATTCTGGCGTGAGAAACTGTCATGGTTTTATTGCTTGAAAACATGAAAAATAAGCACTGTAATTATGTAGTTTACAATTACATTGAATTGACTTTGCTATATATTTTTAAAGAAGTCCTGCTAAAATTTAGACCGAAATTAAGAGCATGAAAGAGCCACATAAGCCTTTTTATCACAATACAAAGTGCGAGGAATTTCTGAGCAAATCAGCTGTTTGAAACCGTTGGTAGGCCTAATAATATGCTGATCCCAGCAATGTACAGCGCTATGAATAAATTATGTATTGCTGTATTACTGTTGCTGGGATTTTTAGGCTACTTATGCTATTTTTATGGAAGCTTGTTTCCACCACTTTAGATAGATAGATAGATAGATAGATAGATACAATTTTAATAAATAAATGCCATTCATAATTCTTTTTTTATATAGTTTATATCTCGCTATTCTGACTTTTTTCTAAGAATTGCGATTTTATATTTTCCACAAGTTTTTACTGTATTTTTGTAGTATGAATTATTTGTAATATAGCCTAGTAATTCAGAGCTCACCTTTTGTTTACAAGCGCTAGTTCTTATGACGTCACGCAAAAGCGCGCCCCGTGGTTGGTACATTTGTCTGTTCAAAGTAATAAATTGTAAAATAAAACATAATATTTGAATATTAAATGCGTATTATATATATATATATATATATATATTAATTTGATTTACTGTCTGTAGTAATTAATATATTTTACATTTGGTTACACTTTATTTCGATAGTCCACTTTAGACATTCTATTAACTATAAGTAACTGTCTAAAGTGGACTATCGAAATAAAGTGTTACCTTACATTTTCTATATTTTTTCTATATATAAAAGGATATAAAACGCAAATGACCGAAAAATGCAGGAAAATAACCATTTTAGTAACAATATAGCATTAAAATATTTGTATAGTCTCTAATCCCACTCCTACTTATAAACCTAAACATTTCTGTACAGTATAAAAAAACATGACATACAGATAAATGCAATTACAATCATTTATTTATTGCAAAAAAATGTCAAAAGCAGTACCAAAAGTAATCCAAATGACGATGCGTTGCACCCGCAGTCCTCTCTGGCGGAATACAGTAGGTTTGTGTAACGAGGTAATTCATATGACAACTAAAAACTAATTAATGCCGCGAGTTCAATATTCATAAGGATTCATTTTTAGGTGTCGTCAATACGTCAGTTTTGCAAGTTTAAATGCTGAAAATACGTCAGTATTGTACGTTTAAATGCTGAAAATATGTTAGTATTGTACGTTTTAGTTTAGTGCCTGTAAAAACGTAAAAATTTACGTTTTATAGAACCACGTTACGTAAAATACATACGAATTATCATGAGATCACGTTGAATATTCAGTCCACGGCATTCTAATTTATTGAGATGCACCTGTATATGTATTATATATTATAGAAAAGAGCTGGTGAATTGACTTTTACTTGTTTAAAGGGGACTCAATCGTCTTTTTAGTTATAATAATATAGTGTCTCAGTCTAAATTACTCTCACACCGATGATTTTGGAAGCCAAACAAATTAGAATATAATAATACTAATTTTATATTATTATTCATATGACAGTAATAGCCATATATTGTAAAATAATTGCACTGTAAAAGAAATGAAAATGAGTATTTCACAGGTATATAATTTGATCTTACTCTACAGTAGGGAAATTACAATACTTTTGTCCTAATTTCTACACATGCAAGCAGGGCCTAAAACTATAACTTTTTGCCACATCTGCCAATGGCTGGTGACTTGAGAAAATTCCGGCCACAAAAATTTTTTTTCCTGGCCATGAAACCGTTTTTGCAGTTGCTGCTACTACAACAAGTAAACATATTTAATAATAATAATAAAAAAAAATGCCTTTTCAAATTAGAACCAACCACTGCACGATACAAACAAAGATACAACACACATGTAGCATGAGCATTTTTTTAAATTTAAATTTCATTGTATCATTGCAACATTTGAAGCAAAAACAGATTGGTCTGACTTTAGCTTTGTGAAATTATGCTAAAACTTAAATAAAACAAAAACAGCAGACAGAATGAATGTCACTCTCTGACAGCAGGTGGCGCTTAGGGAACAGAGGGAGAAATGCCATCGAAAGTCAGTTCCCTTCAGAAATACATTCATATAAACCCCCACCCCAATATTGAAATTTTTTCTTCCAATAAACAATGAGCTTGCTCTGCCTGTAGCCTACAGTATTTTTTTATTTTTTTTTTACAGCGCTTTTCACGATACAAATCATTGCAAAGCAACTTTACAGCAAATTAAGTTTCTACAATATTTAGTAGTAGCTTATCAGTGGTAACTGTCAGTCAATGTACATATGGCAGAAATGTACGGAAAAATCAATTAAAGACGTAATCAAACAGACGATGAACACTATTAACAGCAATTATTATATGATGCAATCAAACTTATAGCAAAATGTGGTAGTTCTGTATGTTGTTTCAGGGTTGGCATCATCTGAGGTCCTCTGAGGGGTTGGCATCATCTCTTCTCAGGTGTTCTGGATCCAGACTGAAGCTTGTGTAAATCGGGCAAAAACAGAGAAACAAATAGAGACATAATTATATGGAGAAAAATCCTGGAAAGTTTTCCTCAAAAACCTTAATTTCTTTGCTACTGAAGACGATGACATGGGGGCGAGTAAATTATCAGGAATTTTTTCATCCACCGGGTGAATATCTAATGCTTCGGGATGAGTTACATGCCAAAAGTGTGTTATAGGTTTAATCAAACCACCAAAAATGAGCAATAGCAACAGTGATTATTTCCTTCACAACAACCCTGAACTAGTCTGGGTGAATTATCTTTGAAATGACTTCAGGTTAATGTTGAGAAGTGATTTCACATGATTTTAACAAGAGCTCAGTATGGATGCCCAGCGTTTAATTTCATG